ACAGCTCACAGCAACCTCCAACTCCTGGGCTCAAGCGAGTCTCCTGCCTCAGCCTCCTGAGTAGCTGGGACCATAACGCCTGGCCATTTTTTGGTTGCAGCCAAAGGACTGCAACCCTTTGGCTGCAACCCTGGGTTGTTTGGTGGGCCCAGGCTGGATTCGGACCTGCCACCTTGGGTGTACGTGGCTGGTGCCTTAGCCACAAGAGCCACAGGCACCAAGCCAAAAGTCCTTTTCTTTTATAGATCATACTAAAATACATATAGATACATGTATTTAGTGAAAATTGGTATGATATCTGGTTTTGCTTGAAAATAATCTTGGTTAGTTAAGAGTAATTGAGGAAATAAACTAAGAGTGGCTGTGAGTTGATAAGTACCAAAGCTGGGTGGTAGGTGTCTAGGAATTCATTATGCTATTTTCTCTACTTTTGTAGTTTTTTTTTTTTTTTTTGGCCAGGGCTAGGTTTGAACCCTCCACCCTCAGCATATGGGGCCGGCGCCCTATTCCTTGAGCCACAAGCGCCACCCTATTTTTTTTTTGCAGGTTTTTTTTTTTACTTTTATAAATGCTTCATATTTTACATTACATGAAGCCAAAAATAACTTCAAATTATTGGATGACATTAAATATGTAAGAATTACAGGTTCATAGCAGTAATTTTTCTTTTGAGACAGTCTTGTTGTCTTCTTTTGAGACACTTTGTTGCCCTCAGCAGAGTGCTATGTAGTCAAAGCTCACAGCAACCTCAAACTTGGATTAAGTGATCCTCTTGCTTTAGCCTCCCAAGTAGCTAGGATTATAGGTGCCCGCCATAATGCCCAGGTATTTTTACTGGTCTGGAACTCCTGAGCTCAAGAAATCCAGCTACCACAGCCTCCCAGAGTGCTAGGATTACAGGTGTGAGCCACAGCACCAGGCCACATGGAAATAATTTAAAAGGAGAGTGAAACAAAGTAAAATCATTGAACATCATTAGAAGTTGCTAGGATACCAACTAACTACTTTGAAAATGAGATTTCAGCATTTATCTTGCCATTCTTGTATATAAACTTTATTTCAGGGTAACCAAATTGTCCTAAAGGATATGAAAAAGTGTTTCTGTGCAGAATTAGAGCTAATATATGAAGAAAAATTAATAGCCTTAAAAAAATCTCCATTTTCTAATCACTAGTTATAAATAATCAGTTCACAAAATTATTATTGATGGATAGTAAAACAAGTAGCTGAAAAGTTTACAGAACATTTTATGATGCAGGGATTAGCCTTCACCATCTGCAAACGAAAGGCACCTGGGACCTGAAAAGGAGAACTGTCCGAGCAGAAACATCTGTATTGTGTAGAAGAAGTGAAAAATAAATCTTTATTGTTTAAATCACTGAAATATAGGGGCAATTTATTACAGAAGTTAGCTTACCGTGAAAGTACACTATATATATTAAAACACATAAGCATATAATTACATATCTTTTTAAATTACATACATATCCAAACACATCATGATACATTTGAATGTATGCCTGTGTTAGGGACAGGAGTGAGATTAGGGATTAAGGATCAAGAGGAAAATAAAACGAGAAAAGGGAGTAGTATCAACTGATGATGAGAATTCACTAGGCTCTGGGGCGAATGGTTTAACTATTACAAAATAAAAACAATAATTTAGCAAGAAGACAAGTAAGCAACCCTTTTCATATAGAACCCAGGCTAGTTCACCAGCAGTATAACTATCTTCAGCCTTGAAGAGGCACAGAATGGTTCTGGGGAGAGGACACAGTCTACTAGAATCCTCCACCATGGTCACCAGGAGAGTCTCAGCCCTAAAAAGGTTCCTAAACTGAGAATTTCTCCCAACCCTAATCTTTACCTTCATCTCTCTCTGGTGATGATAGTGAAGGAGGCATTGGCCATTTTCCAGATGTGGGGCCTGGACCTGCCACCTACCCCTTGGTCCTACCCCTTACTCCAGGCTGAAGGAGGCTCGACACAGCACAGATGTTCATTTTTGGCCTGGGTGCATCCTCCTGCTCACTCTCCATCTCTGCCATGGCAAGCTAAATAACAGCCCTTCCCTCAAAGATGTCCACTTTCTAATCTCTAGAAGCTGCAAGTGTTTTCTTAAAGCTATGTTGCCCAGGCTGGACTCTAACTTCTGTGCTCAAGCCATCCTCCTGCCTCTTCTTCTCAAGTAGCTGGGACTACAGGCACATGCCATGCCTGGCTTAACCTGTGAATATTTTATCTTAAATGGCAAAGGGACTTTGCGGACATGATTAAGGATCCCAA